AATACATCTACACGTGCGAAACAGCAAAGTGGGAGAACCCTAATCAGCGCTTCCTATGACTATGTGTTCTTCGATATCCATTGTATTTAGGTAGGTCTCAAATACTACTGGCGCCTGCATCTAAGGTGCTTGTACTTCCGTCGCGACAGCAATGACTATCCTCATAATTGCGTCTACTTGATTTGTTGGTTGGGAACCTAGCGATTTTTATTCATCGTACGTGACGAGGTCAACGATATTCATGACAGACAGACGAACGGCGCTACCGCCCACAGACGCCCATCAACGGAAATGGCTTGCTGCCGTCAACGGGCACGAAGTCTGAGTGCGAATATTATTTGTCCACCAGTCAGTTGACACCGAGTAATAAGTTGGAGGACCCCAATTACCCGCTCATACGCCTGGACGTGTCAAAGACGCGTGCTAAGAGTCGCCCCTGCGGCCCGTGCAGATGAGTTTTTCACACAGATGCCAGGTCGTAGGGGCGGGTGATTTTGCCGCCTATGCAGGAGAAGGTAGCGCTTAGCGGGATAGGGATGACTTGCTTGGCAACCCAATGAAGAGAAAGAAAGCGCGACTAGAGCACTGCCACGTGTACTTTGTATGAAAACTATCATGAAAAGCATGCTCGTTTCGGATGTCCCGGTCCGATGTCCTTAACTTATAAAACATGCCTACTTATATTTCATACGTAGGCATGTTTTATAAGTTAAGGACATCGGGTTGGCGAGCATGCATGTTTTTTTGTCCCTAACGAGGTTAGATGAACAAACAGGGTTTAGATACGGCCCTAGCCATTATCCCCAATCAGGAACTGGATGAAGAACATATTTACCTGACCGCAAAAACGAAGACACACACGCAGCACCGCGTAACACAGAAAAGGACAGCGTGTCATTGCACAGTCTATTTAGAAGAGAAGAATGGTTGGTTGCTTGTAAAAGTTAAAAAAAGCGAAGTAAACAGGAACAGTGCATGAGAAGACAAGAGGAGGGCTCATTATGCTCGCAGATAGTTTGACCATGCATGGATGCATACGTGCGCGAGAACACTGGCATATGTACAAACTAAAAAGTAACCAAAAGTGGTGAAAGAATAAAAGTCAGGTGGGTAGAATCGAAAGTAAGGAGTGGGGGAGAGTGTGCTCGAGCAGGAGGCTTGCAATTTCAGTTTCATATGAGGATAAACGTAGACACAGAGGAAGTATAGAGTTCGTCTGTTCGGTGTAGACTGGCGGCGCGTTACACACTGGGTATCGTACTGAGTGGGGAGGGAGCATGGTTGCAGGACATGCTCCCTCCTCCCCACCCAGACTTCATGAGGTTCTCGCGGGGCTCTCCTCCTCCTCCCCCTCGTCAGCTAGGTTTGGACTGGCATAAACGGACTCAGGGTCAGTGGCAAGCAGAGGCACGGCGGCCGAAGACCGACAGGATGAGCTGTCCGAGGGAGGATTGAGTAAGTCAAGCGACCAGGCAAACGGTTTGGCAGCCCGACGACCACGCAGACATGGCCATGGCCAGAGGTAGATCGGACCTGGGGTAGAGAATTAGCAGGAAAAAGGGCAAACTGGATAGATGACAGAGAGAACAACTGTGGAAGCTTATATAACGGCATTACGGTCACCTACCGACCCCCGGTTGAGGGGGGGGGGGAGCGGAAGAGAGGGGGGCGTGTAAAACGGCAGGCCGTGGAATAAAGCAGAGAACAGTAGGTGTTCTCTATCTTTGTGTTTTTGGGTTGTGCGCGTCTGCTATTTGCTTGCTCTAGACGGCTACAACAATGTCATAATTTGAGACAGTGTCAAGTCATCGACGCATTAATCTTGCGCGCATAAGTGGATCGCCTTGCAGTCCCAAGTATAGCGCCGCACAAACTAAAGCAGGCTGGTTCTCAGAGTCCAGGGAACAGGAGAACATGGCTACCCCGAGTGTCTACGTCTGGCAGATAGTGGAATGGTCCTTAACGAAGGTTGGCTGTTTAAAAAAAGGAATTATGTCGGGTTTGACTTATAACGGACCATGCGGCGTTGATGCCTGAAGCCGTGGTCGGGCGACGATGTGGCAAAGCGACGGTCATGTGCCGTCCCGGTATTACGAAGTGGTGAATAACACCTGCCGTGCAATATAGGCCTCTTTTGCCTACGCCCGACAAAGCTTTTGGACTTTCGTAAAGTGGTGTCTCGGGAGGTGGGTTGAGTTGAGCAGTTTACCTTCGGCTCCGCCAGCAGGCAGTAGCCTGACTGGGTTTTTAGACGCCTGGACGTTTATGGTCCGCATGGGATTTCCGAGGACTGGTCGCATCGAGTGGACTAGCAATCCTGCAACGACAACAACATCAGCAGCAGACTTGGGAATCTGAAAGCAGTCCGGGGTATCGATTAATTCGGGAAGCTGGGAGCTGTGACAGTGATAACGTCGAATTAGAATATCTAAAGCGAATTGTCACAAAAGTTTTTACGGAAAGGTACAGTAGGGGAGGAACTTAGATCAGTTCTTGTTGATATCCTGCTCCGGCCACAAGGCGCAATTAGTGACCGTAGATAGTGATGATATACGCGCACCAGAAGGTGCTAGTGGCTGTCTATCCTAAGAGAGTTGTGACGGCTGCTACCTATTTCGTCAAAAAAACTGAAACCAAAAAAGAAGCATCTTATGTCCACCGAAGCAAGCACATAGAAACTATTGTACTTTCGATGATGCGGCGTCTTCGGGAAGTACGATTATCACAAGCGAGAGCCAGCAGTCGCCTACTGGGTAGATGGGATAGCCAAACATAAGTTTAAGCAAATGTATACTACTGAAATTGAAGTCAGTAGCTATATTCGAAATCATGAAGATGCTGGGAGTGTCGCTGACGGACGGAACTCTACACAATTTCCTCCCGCTAAAGACTGGCACAACGCACGGCTGGGTCTTAAAGCGTTCACATGCCCGCAACAGCGAAAGCGGTTACAATCAGGTTACGCAAGCCGGCCTTTTGCACACAGACCTTCATGCAAACCCAGCACTTCGGGCAGTTTTCTTTTTAAACGCACTATCATCACCGGCCCAGCTTGATACTGACTGCCTTCAAATACCAACCCATATTCCCTAAATCCCAATTGGGTGAAAAGATAACCGTTACTCAAATTTTCTAATTACCTATATGTTCTAACTGATCGCGTTACCATAGAAATGTATTGGCGCGATTGAAACCTCCCTAAAGCGAACGACTGTTGACCAAACCGTTGGTAGGGCTCAGGAATATGGACCCCCCCCCCCACCCAGTAC